CAGAGGGCGGCTCCCGGACAAGGAGAGAGAGAGACGTGTGGTGTCGGCTGGATCCTTCGCTGCTCCCAAACGGGGCGATGAATGACACCGGACAGCAAAGACGCACGGATGTCATAGCCAGGTGGTGGTTTCACCGCTCTGAAGCCACGAGGAATCCCATGGGAAAGCAGCAGCGAACTGACTGACCTGCAGGAGCTGATCCCGTGATATAGCATGTGATCGGCTTGTTGACGGGGGGGGAGCCAGTGGAACTGAAATGCAGGGATTGCCACGAGTAGGGCGTTATGGAGATGTAAAGGTAACAGAGGGGAAAGCTCGTGTGGCAGGTAAAGTACAGACTTCAGCTCTCAAGTGTGCATGACTGTTATTTACTGGTCACCACAGGAAGAACAAAGGATCCTTTCAATTATCCCAACAGAGACTAATTAAGGAGTGGTAACCTCTGCAGAGATTTTGAACCACCACTACCACCTCCATATGATTCAGAACAGAGGATCTGAATGGCAAGTTATATTCCCACTAGAGTTTAAAACCTGCATGTAAAGGCTATCCTTGGTCACTGACTGATTTTAGATCTGATCTTTGTCCCGGATGAAGGTTAGTTCCCAACAGACCTAACACTGGAGAGAGCAGAGGCACCGCCACCCACCTCCCCACCTGTGTGAATATCATTAACTGCAGGTACAGCTCAGGCCAGGAAGATGCTCGCTTGGGTGCCGAGTCCAAAGAAGGTGGGGGATGAGCCGTACTAACCAGAACATCACACCACAAAAGCCAGCCCAGGAGAACAACTGCAGAAAGTCAGAAAAGAAGATTCAGAAGTCGGAAGGCAACACAAGCAAGTGCTTTCACAGGCATCCAAATGCTTGATGGAGATGTCCCATGGCTGGCTGTGAGCTCCAAGGGCACCTGCCCTCCACAGTCAGAGTATGCGGACATTCCCTCTCCTGCATCTGTTCTGGTCTCTAAAGAAATGCTGAGTTCGTGCTGTCATCTTCCCTTTGATCAAAGGGCTCATACTGCCTCTGTCTCCCTTCCAGTTGCCTAACTTTATGAAACTCATAGAAACTTAATTATTTTAGAGATATTCCCTCCCCCCATTCCATTTGCCAAAAATGACTGGTCTGACAACATTTTCAGAGGTAATTAGGGGAAGACATACATAGGCAGCAAGATTACCCCAGACACCTTTCCTTTGGAAACCAGGATAAAACCCACAGTATTGTATTTATCAAAACAGTCCCCTGAAGTCAGATTTGTGATTGCTGTACTTGTGTTATTGGCTATACGGCAAATTTTTAAAACAATTTTTGAAGGATTATATCAGATTGATTTCACCCGTTCTAGCCACAAGCAAGCCATTTATGAACACTTTTCCCATCTGTTTAAATGGGGATGATAAATACCTACCTCAGCTCCGGTCTGCGTGCAAACACAAACAGTGGTTTGAATATCTTATAAGCATTGCATGACATAAAAAATAATTATTATAAATATTGCTGTAAGATTAGTGCATACACATTCTTTTTGAATGGCTGCAACCCTTTAAAATCAGAAGCACAATAGAAGTCTAATACTCAGACATACTTAGGTGCGATACAGTGAAAACCATTTATTTAGCAAATCATTCACCAAGTTAGATTTCTGCTGCAATTTAACTCTTAATACTTAGTAAAAGCGCATATTTTGTTAGACAGTTAGTTCCATTTGCTTTTAAGAGGAATATCTAACAAAGAAAAAATGGGACAGAAAAACGTCAAGGAGGCCTTTTTCAAACATTTCCTTCTTGGTGCTCACTGGATAAAAATATATCTCCTTACCCCTTGAATTCATCTCAGTCAAATGAGCCACTGCATACTGAAAGGCCTGAAGGAGACTCAGCCAATGCTTCCACCCATCCAGACCCATTCATCTTCCTCCTCCCTACCGCTTTTGTGAAACCTCACCAGCACGTTCATGCACGCTACTTGTTGACCTGCAACACAGGAATGTGCTGCCTACCTCGCTGCTGCTCATGCAGGGGTCAGTGGTTGGGATGACAGCTTCCTTCTTAGCACCCATAGATACCCAGGGATGGCACATGCACTTCATGCAAGGTGGGGAAGTACAGGAGGCTATGGGAAGTACGTGAAAACTCTTTGGTCTTTGAAGAGGACAGGCAGTAAGAGAAAGGTGTCAAGACACCACAAAAACATTGCAAATCCTCTCACCGCCCTCCCCCAAATATACATTACAGGATTATTTTTGAGCACAAAACCATTCCTCCATGCTCCACAACATCCAGGCAGCAGTACAGACCTACTCCTTTCTTCACCCCATCCCAGTCCCACAGTGCAGCTTGCACAGCCAGTGTTAAATCAGCCTATAAGCTGGGTGAAAAAAAAACTGCAGCTGTGTTTCCCAAGTTGTCCTCCAAACAATGATTAGCTGCCAAATTGCCTTAAATAAGCAAACCAAGCAGCAGTTGTCATCCTAATTATAGAAGACTCTTTTCAGCTTACCTGAATGAACTTTGGACTTCCCCCTTGGTGCCCTAATTTAATTCTTTAATTCTAAGAAATTAAGAGCCAGTATTTTCAGTAAATGCTGAGAAGGTCACTGTTCCCTTGCATATAGCCAGTGTTAAAATATGCATTTATCTAAGATGTGCTGTGATTGTGGTGAGCTTCTAACCTTCTAGACACTATTTCCTTCCTTTTCCAGCAGGCATTTATGTTGCAAGACTCTTTCTAACTTATCAATGTCTCTTTTCATACACAAAACTACAAGCTACCTACAAAGATATAAAGTGTAAAATTAAAAAATAATCAATGCTGTCAATTGTGTATGTTTTATATACAAATGTAAGAATTCAAATGAGAAAAGCAGTCAGAAAAAACAACATTTAATTATAAAAGAGCTTTTTAAATTTAAAAAAAAAAAAAGATAATGGCACTAAACCAGAAACAAAGTTATTTAAGAGATCATAGCCACAGGGCGGTTGTAATTGTATACTGAAACCGTACAGCTGTTCCTATCATCTGCACTTTGCTCCTGATTAAAATAGCATCTAGAGTTCCAGTAACAAGTAATCTTTTACAGAACTATACGAAAACACACAAATTTTTGTATTACATGACAAAACCCCCTTATGTTTATTACATTAGATCCATAAATATTTACCTAAGCATTGTACTCGTTTTCTACTCCTTACACTTAAAGAACAGGGAGTGTGATTTGTTCTGCTGACAAAAGTGATTTGTCTTACAGGGTTTGCCCATAGTGGCACAGTGCTATACCATGTAGGGGTACCCAATGAGATGGAGCTTTGAGGGCAGTACAGTCACAGTAGAACAATTTCCTCCTTTATTCATTCTGCTTTTGAGAATCCTTCAGTGCTTCTTTTCCATATGAAGACAGCTTTTGACTTTCAAAAACAATAATTACTTACACCCCCAAAATTGTTCATATGCTGTGGATAACTCATCAGTATATGTCTAATTTTTCTATGACCTTTCAGAGTTCTGTTTCATTGTCTATATATAAAATGGAGAGCTCCAGTGGTTGCTTTGGGAACAACACAGTCCAGGCCTGTATCCAAAGCTCAGCAGAAAAGCCCTTTATTCCTTTAATAAGCTTTGATCAGCTAAAAAAATGTAATTCAGTCCTGGATTGTATGTAGAATATTCCCTATGAGGTCAATATAACTCTGTGTGCGCACGAAAATAAAATATTTCATTCCAAGGATGTAATTTCACAGTAGTTATTTCAGGTAGTCAGCACACGGGTGTGAGCACTTAAGCACAGCTGAGCTAATTTACAAATAAATTGTAAAGTGGTACACAAGTTAGTGAGCCCAAAGTGTTGCTGTGGGACTGAGGCTCTGGAGCTGCAGTCCACAGCTCTTTGTGTCACTCTGTAATTCATTATTGGTGAATTCCACAGGGAGCTTTCAGTTCCTCCCTGCAAAGAGAAGGATTTGCAATAGTTCACCATTAGACTATTAATTTTTGAAGTGGTTCAGACAGCATTTATTAGCGTAAGGGAAATCAGAACTTGATTTCTAGCCTTGTCCAGAACAGACCAGACATACAGCTGACGGTAGGCAATAGCCAAAAAGCCGATGTGAACTCCACAGTAGACCTTTACACTGATTTAGAGTGAAAAGTTTGGTGGTTTGCTACCTATGAAATTTAGACTAGTTTCCCTCCACAGTTATTTTATTCTTCCTGAAAGTTTTTATTGTGCTAGTAATTGACAGGTTTTGGCAGTTCAAAAATTGCAATCTATCAGATGTCCAAAAAAACTGAAACCAGTGTATATAACATGGCTACATATCATTGCTGAAAAACCTAGAGGTCTTTCTAGTGCATGACAGTATTCCAGAAAGGATACTGCCAAGAGTGGTGAGCTTTAAAAATTACTCACCTTGTCTTTTCTTTTTTTATCTTTTTTTTTTTTTTTAATATAATCAACTGGAATAAGAATAAAAAAATATGTCAGAGATCTAGCAAAAAAAAGCTGCATAGAAAGCATTTTCACAGTTGTTCTTAAATAGTTTTCATCAAACTTTACCTAGAAAGTGAACAAAATGAAGAATTCCAAAGACAAAATATATTGCATTGCAGGTTTTTTCCTGTGAATTTCACACTTGGGAAATTCAGTTGACTGGTTTTATGTATTTTTAATACTGTACCATTCAGAAGTGCTGATCAGGACTTGGTTCTCCAGTGTAAATAGCACTGTAAAGACCTATATGAACACACAATTCTACACAAACAGATTTAGATCTCTAATATAAAGAGGTTAAACATCTGTTTGAAAAACTTTTTTTCTGAAACAAGACCTACCAGAGGGGAGGTAGATTGTGCCATTAAAATATTTAAGGTACTTCTCATTTCAAATATGAGTGGGAAAACTGTGCTATCTCCAAAATTTTGCTGCGAGTAAAACTGAAAATTTACTGGTAATCACTGTTGGGCTTCCATCACTTTTTTTTTTTAACTGGATAAGATTCTATTAATATATATAACACAGCTGAATGCTGAATGGACGCACTATCCCTTTGAAACATTCAACCTTACAAAGCAAGTCCACAGGTTGTTCTTTTTCCATTAATTGTGAGCTTAGCTCTGCTTAGATTTTATAACCCATTCAGCATTTGGGTTGAGCTGGTGTAGGTCCTTCATGTAGGTATCATCATCAAGACAGCGTTCTCCTAGAAATAGAAGAGATACGTGGTTACATCAGTACCAAAAAAGAAAGGAAATTATTTTTGAAAATTCCTATCACTGTTTTATTCAATTTAGGCTTTCAAGCCCTCTCTGTGGTATGAAGCAAAGGACAATGCAGATAAAACCTAGAAGTGCTATTACTCTTCCCATTAGTCTTGGGGAGGAAAGGGGACAGAGGAAGAAGGAAGGAGAGTAGGGGCTGCGCCACCTCCGTGGAACGTTCTAGGTCAGATTTTTCACACAGGCCATGCACATAGGAGCTCCCCTCTGCGAAGGTTTAGGAAAAAGGAACAATGCCCTGGTCCTCTCGTGGTTAAATCCAAGCACTAGGTTCACATTTGCATAGAAGTCCATTAAAATTTCAGGTTGTTTTCCACTTCTTAAAAGGAAAGTTGGAGAAAGGTTTGTCCTTGCTAAGAAGTTTTTACTCCCTATCCTGCTCCTCTTGGTCAGCAGTTCTACGTAGCACTTGTAATGGTTACTGTCCTAGGAGGGAAAAGTAGTACAGTGTTCTCGGTGCATTACAAGCAATTAATTTACGCCTAGCAGCTATGATGAAAACAGCATATGCTGATCCATCAAGATCTGCATACTCTTCCCATTCCCCCACAGCAAAGCATTATCTCACGCACTTGCAGCTCTGCATCACAGCCCCAACCGTGCAAGTGGTTGGGATGGATGGCTCATGTGCCAGCCAGACGTTTCAAGCACATGTGCTCCTGAAGCAGGAGGTGAGCAGAGGCATGATGCAGCAGCTGGGTTTGTCTGCCAACTCTTTGGACAGCCTATGCAGAGCAGGCAAGACTTCCTGCTCAACTAAGCTCGGTCTCCATCTGCTCCCTCTCCATCTGGTCTCCTTGCCAGGTAAACAGCCTGTCTTCCCTCTAGGATTTTTATCCCAACCTACATGACCTGTACTGCCCACACTGCTGAACTAGGCCCTCTCTCCCACACAGTGCAGCGTGTTCAGGCAGGAAGAGTGCAGGGTCGGTGGTTTGCCATGTCCCTATCCAGTCCCGGTCACAAAGCAATAGCAGAAGTCCTGTTCAGTGCCCTGAAGCCCTGTACAGTACTAAGTAGTCAAAAAACATCTGGAGTCTTCAGCAGCTCCATCTGCTAGGTGACAGGACAGTAGTATTGTGCACATTACAATTGTAAGTGTAAGCATATGAGAGTGTCACAAGCCTGTCAAGTCTTCTCACTTTTGGGCTCCCTCTACATACCCATGTCCCATTGGGCAGAAAGAGAATGGCAAAGATCAGGACAGCTGGTTTGCTTACACCTGTACAGCAGGTTAAAGTAAGGGAGTTTCTCTTATCTCAAGTGAGAATGGTATTTGTAAGGGCTGATAAAAGTTGAAATTGTCTGAAAGTAAATCATTCAGACAGAGGAAACATCTAAGCTTTCTTTCCTATTTAATAACAAAACAAAATAAATCTGCAACTAGCCATGTATTTTCTGTAAGAGACATACTATTTCTATGACATGTTTAATGTGATAGTAGGTTGTTCCAGTTTCACTGGAGTTCTGTTACAAAAACCTTTTTTCTACAATGATTACAACTCTGTAAAATAAATGAGATACTCCTTTAAAAGTCTTACATCTGGGATCACAACCTGCTTTAACAGGCAAAGCAAATGTATGTACATATTGGATGTGCAAGAGAACATACAATACATTAATTTGGCATCCAGCTATCTTAGTAACTTCTTTTTTTCCATCAGACTTAGTAAAAACACTAAAACATATCTGTTGTAGGGAACATAGGAAAGTTATTTTTAAGTCAAGTCTTTCAAGACACACAAAAAATAATTGATTTAAAATATTGATTAGGTAAAAAGGAAAAATGCTGTAAGTAGCAATTTACATACAGGAAGTAAAATTGCAAAGTACAGAAGTACTGGGTATTCATGGAATTTTATAATTTCAAATAAAGTTTAACAGGTCAAGGTTAATAAGAAAAGAGTAAATGTAAGTCCAATCCAATACTGTTTTCTAGTTCTCTTTTTATTTTTTTGTGCTGAGTATATGAAAAACACTGTGATTAGAAACTGATTCCCAATGCAAAAATACTTCTGTATTCATGAAAGAAAATTTCAGAACTGTGGTCCTTTGGCATTAACCTTGCTGATCTGCTATTTGCTTTAATCAAGAGGGTCTGGAAAACACAGGTCAGGAAAGACTAACCATTGGAAAATTTTCTCACTAGGTCATCTTTCTGGTTGAACATTTTTTTTCCCCAAAGGAACCTGCAAGCAACGTTCAAATGCAGAGCATGAAGGACTGTGAGTTCACTTATGCCTTAATATAAAGAGATTAATAAGATGAACTTTAACTACCTTCCTATCCAACTCTTCTGTGCTTCTTCCCTGTACATACATTATCAGGAACATCTGTTACAGCTGCTGACTGCTTCTGGGAGAGATAATAAGATACTACTAGTACAATGATCACATGAACATCTCTGCTTCCTTCTCTGCAAGGTTAACTGTCTGCCTTAGTGTCAGAGAGAACTAGTGACATGAATAAAAATGCAACCACAGTGAAGCCCACGGACAACATGTCAAGGAATCATATTCTAGCAAAAGTTGTTCAAAAGCCACTCTTACCAATATTTCCTCCTATTTCATAAAGAAAGACCTCTTCTTTCTTGAGTGTTTGGACATTTCCACTGTCAGGAAAAAAACACAATGAATAACCCTTCATGTTTATACACATTTACTGATACAGTAAGTGAACAAGAATACCCTTGCACGCTAGTGCAAATGAATAGTCCTGCAAGTGAGCAATACACTACAGAAAAGGTAGAATAATACAGATGTGAAGAAACTGTGGGGTTTAGGAAATAATTCCATTGTTATTAGCAAGTAGCCTGATATTTACCCTCTGACTTTTCTTTCACTGCTGCTGCAAAAATAAGTATTCCCCTCAAACACTTCACATTTCTGAAAAAGCGTTATGGTTGGGTGGTAGAAACCACATTCTTCCTGTTTTTAATTTTGCTGCAACTAAAAGAAGTAAAAAACAGACAGTGGAAGAACAAAGTTCCCGTATTACAAAGGGATTCATTTATTCTCATTACTTAAGTGTAATAATGCATGCTAAGGCACAGCCAGAAAGTAACTTTCTGTCAAAAGTGTAAACCTCTAAAAACAGCATTTAGGAAAAAGCAGCTTATTAGTCTCAACTAGTATACCACATTGTTGCTTTAGCATGAATAGTTACATATGATGCACTCATCTGTTAATTTTTTTTTATGCTAAGTCTATTCTGATTTCTTACTTTGCTCATATATGTAAAAAAATAGATTCAAAAGCTTAATTAAAACTTCTCCCTTTCTAAATGGATTTGGATGACTCAAATGTAGCTTTCCTTTTAAATCACTGCACATGTATAATGTGCACATATTTATATCCCAATACCTATACTATTACTATATATAAATGCTTTTTTTTTTTTACAAAATATTTTCTTTCTCTTTTCCTCATCCCTTTGTTTCCTAGACTTACTTTCCTGGAGTTACCTTCTGTCTTCTCCCCAGAAAGTTACAAAAGTTTTCCTGACCCATCAGATTTAATAGCAGTTTATTTTTTATTAACGGCACTCATGTATTCCTGAAGGCTTCCTGAGATTTAATGACATTAGGAGCACTCAGTTAATTCCTCAAGCATGTGTTCCAATAGGCTAAATTTGGTCCAAAAGTTCATGAACTCACCTGGACAAAGTATTTTGAAACTTTTTTCTTGATATAATATATGAAAAGACACTTCTCCCAGAATGATAACAAAGCAAGAATGAGTTTGTACCTTTTCTGGCTGAGAAACCTGGCTACTATATCACCGGCTTTCAGTTCTTCTGTCAGCTGTATTGCCATGGAAACTTTCGAAAGATGAGGCGCTTGCACCCGTATCACTCCCTGAGGAACATCAGCCTGCAAAGCAATAATGGTATTGGAACAAAGCTGCTAGCGGCTGGCTTTGATGAGCTTCTCAAAATACAGTATGGAATAAGTAACTTAGTACAGTGCTCTGTAAGTACACTTAACTACTATCTACTACACTTCACTGCAGAAATACGGTAACTACACAGTAATTCAGTAAATTACATCAGACCTTCAAATCTCTTTTTAACAGCAAGGAGAACTTTGGAACAAAAGAACAGTAGTGTTTAATTATTTTTCAAAGATGTTAAGAATAACAATAACAATTACTGCTATATTAAGAACACACTTAGGTATGATAAGAAGCATATGAGATTGATATGGAAAAGACTTGCTGTGTGCATGAAAGCCAGGCAACCTCCCAGCACTGCTCCCCCACTAAAACTTCCAGAAGAAACCATTCCAGTTTCATTTAATCTGAATTTCATGCCAAAAAAAATAAATCACAAAGTATTCATGGGTCAGTCTACTTTAAGTGATTCCTCTTTTCAAATATAATTTCCTTTTAAAACAGATATTCATTACTGCTGCTTTCTTCTCCCTATTTTTTATTTTCCAGAATATATTCAGCTAGTCAACCTGCAGGTCTGACTACATAATGGATTTGTATTTTATTTCAACCCCAAAATCCTTGATGATGAATACCAATCATATTAGTTACAGAGACGGAGGGCTCCAAAGGACAGGTTTTTTTGTTCAACTTGCAGTACATGACATTTTAAGTTAAAAAAGGCATACTTTATTTGTGAATAAGGTCTTAATTTCTGTTCCCAGAAATCTTGAGGTAATTTTTCTATTCATATAACATCACCATTTACCATTTGGTAGGAAAAGGAATGTAAGAGTCTCAGTAGTCAATGTTGATCATGACCGTTCATTCTCTTCTTTTTCTCCCCATTTACTTCAATTGTATGGCTGAACATTTCTTCCTCCGTAATCAACAAACAAATCTGAGCACCTGTGAATCTAGGATAATGTCTCTGAAACCATCTGAGTTAAACAAATATAGAACAATTGTAAACGTGAGCAGAATCAGAAGCACAGCTCCTGAGAAATCTAAAGGCTCATTACTATACAAGTGATGAGCTATGGTAAGTCATTTTAACCAAACAATCCTTCTATATCCTGTCTTTATTGATTTTAAAAATACTAGACATAGTAACTATTTACATCTAAAGCACTAAGATCACCACATTGAGAATCTGCTTCATATTAATTGTGGTATCAAAGATTCATAAGGCTGCAGTAGATCTCAAAAAGCAACTTCCTAAATTTATACCTAAATCTGTCAAATCTGTTCTTTAAGGCCTCCACCTATGGAAACAATGTCTGTAGCCATCTGCTAGGAAGTTAACACCTGCTTAAACATCTTTTGTCTCTTTCCAAACTGTTGGGATCCTGGCAAAAAGGAAAGGAATCTTTCAAGGATTAAACAGTTATTTATAGATGTCCCTAACTGGTCCTTCATCAAATTCAGCATGGTAATTTTAAATTGGTTCTCATTTTTGTATACAATTATGTATCATTTTGTCTCAGTTGATTTTAATGGAGTTTTTCCAACCTTCATCTGGATAAGAGGGGTTTTTTTTCTATACAGCAAGGATGTGATCAAATATTTAAAAACGTGCCTGCTTTGAGTGTATGAGAAGGAACAAGAAATGTCCACAGAGCCGTAACATTATGGTCACAGATCAAACAGAATAATTACTTTGTTTATTCAGACAGAATCATTATTAGCTCAGTTAATGAGTGCATTTTGCCACTTTCACCACCTGCATTTACAGAAGTCATGCTCAGCTGCACAATTTGTTCATGGTGCCCAACTACAGAGAGAACAAATACTGAGCATCCCCTAAGCCATTCATTGTGCAAGTTGGTGGGAAAGAAAACATGGCTGCAAAAGGTATTGGAGCAGAGTCACAAAAGGACTTGTTCTCTGCATAACACAGTTCAAAACGTCCAAGTTATGGCCCCACATCACAACATATAAGCCAAGTACATATAAGGTGACTGACGATATGCTGATGGGTGGGTCAGTCACCTATAGTATGTAGAGTCCCCCCTCCTGCCTCACAGGATGAGGGTTACAACACTCAAACCTCTAGCTGAGTTAGGTACTTGCACACTTTAAAAACCTGAAGAAAGATATGTCCTTGGCTGATGGAAAATACACTGGCCTACAACATTTAGCTTGTAGCAGGCACAGCAGTCACCTGTGAGGTACTCATCTTCTTTCAAACCCCTTCTTTTCAGAGGGACTTGAATCTACATATGATGAAAGACATGCATCTGCTTGGCTACAGGATCTGAGGTGGGTCTCTTCCAGATTCTCCTGTTCCATTTTGCATGACACACTTAAATATTCATCAGGCTAGATGAAGAGAGGAACGAAGTGACTATGCAGTATTTTCACAAATGACTCAGATGACAGAATATAATATATACTTATTAAATATGTGAATGATACAAAGCAAAAAAAATGAAGAACAATACTGGAATTCAAAAGCATCTTGCTACGTGAGAGACAAAGTCTGAAAGAAATGGGATGGAGTTGTTCTCTTTGAACTGCAAAGTGTTGCACCTAGTTTGGGACAAACAACTTTATAAAAAGAAATGACTTGACAAGTAGCAATTTTTTCAGTAAGTATTCTGGCATGCAGTGGATAACAAATTCAGCAACAGTCTGTAACATTATACTATGAAAATTCAAACAGGTTATGCAAACAGAACAGCTATGGGATGCAATGGTTATTCTAACCTGTTAGATAAGCCCAGTGGCATTGTGTTGTGCTGCTAACATGACGACTGCTGTGCTGGAACAATTGCAACATGTAGAGGAATATGATAACAGATGGTATAAATCTGGCTATGCTAGCAGGTAAATTTCCAGTCCTGAGGGCATCTTTCTTTGCCTGGCTAGAGCATTACACATCCCAACAGCAACATAAAGACTTAATCCCTAACACAGACTTGGGGCCATAGGTATGCACAGGTATCCCAAAAAGCAATTAACCCTCACAAGCCTTCTAATATTAACCACTCTCATCACTGTACAGAATATCTTGCCCAAACTTTGCAGTAAATGCTATTTAACCTCCATCTTAAAAGGGGAAATGTGATTGACAGAGAGGCCTCATCAGAGATAAGATGAAATTTTATCCAAATGAGCAGACTGCCATTAAGAATGCAAATACTGAGAGGCGATTCACCACAAGTCTGGGTGCCTCACTTGCTGTCTAATACTGGAATGCGGTTCAGGAACTGCACAGGAAAATCACCTCAATTTCAACCTATAGGCAGTATAAATTGAAAACCACGGAGAAAAAAAAAACCTATCAAATTTTCCTTAAAGAATGACACAATTTTTTTCTTGAAAAAAATGTATAAAATTGTCATTCACAATGAGGCCTTGTCAAATTAGGAATATGACTTTAAGAGTAATATGCTCTCAGGCACCCAAATTACTGAATGCTTCAAATAAGCATAAATGATTTGTGAAAAAAGGTACTATGTAACTTTGAAGGAAATGCCCAGAGAAGTCTAGGGCTTAAATAAAATTCTTGAATAGTAACTTTACATTTACATTTGGGTAAGAATATATTACACGAGACTTCAGCCCTAACTCCCCAGAAGATTAAAAAGGCATATTTTACTCTAAAATACCAACAGCACTGAATTACAAAAAAAATCCAGTACCTGAAGTTGCAACAGCATTTGCCTATTTCAGTGTATTTGCTGTTATTTCTATGTTGAACAGGGGATGGCAGCATTAAGTGTCATCTCATCATAACTGAATTGTATTCAAAGAATCCTTTTCTTATTAGACAGCATAAACTAAATGTCAGTGTTTAATTAGCTTTATTTTAAAATTGGATGTAAGTCCTCATTCTGTGTACAGATTCCTCCATATAGACAAATACGAAATTAAGGCAAAGTGATACCTGGGGAATTAATTAATTTTGGACATTAAGTGATGTGTCAAACACTGCACACAAAACAAGGTAGGAACATTGAAATACATCTCTCCAGTAGATATTAGATGCAGTTGTCCATAGGATCCAGCTTTTTGCATATTCAAAAAAAATTAAAAAAAAGCAGCATACTTGCGAGATCAAACCAGGTAGATTTGGGATATTATATCCATTTGCCATATTCTATTTTTTGTCTTAATAGCTTAAAAAATGGCTTTATTAGAATACTACCACCTTTTTTTTATAATTGTTTGTCATACACATACTTCATAAGAAAAACACACCGTTCAGAGCAATGCATTTTTACAAGCTACCACACGATGTCTCTAATCCACCGGAATCTTCAACATGGCTTCAACCCACAAGGTGGTATTTTCATACCACCTAAATCTGATATGTATTCATTATGTTATCAGGATACACATATTTGGTGTTACCTGTTTATGTATTTAAAACAACTCTGGAATCACGTCTTTCAAATGTACAGGCTAATGAGCTTCAAATGTTGTAATTACTGACTTCATTTAAATCATAATTAATAAGAGATTTCAAAGTACATGAGATATATTTTTGAAAAGTTTCCATGTCAGTCAGAACAGTTCAATTAAAACACCTCTAAAGTACAGAAAAAAATCACACTATAATGCCACAGGATTTTTTTGTTGTTGTTGTAAAGAATGTGTGAAGAGCGTTACACTGAAACTTATGCCTTGACATCACTGGTGGGTCTGGCAGAAGTACGTTACCTAATGGAGAGATACTGAACTGTAAATAATATACACAAGGGTAAGCTGGGAGTAGACACTTGGACAATAGCTGCATAAGAAGCAGTTTATCTGTTTTTTACATTTGTTTCATCCTTTGGGGTTTCTTGCGGGGGGACAGCAATGCATCTAAATGTGGGTACGATAATACTGGTGGTGTCACAACAGTTGCTCCCTCTACAGATACAGATCTAATGTACTTTTGCTTCAGATGCCCAAATTGAAACAACCTGTGGGATGTCATTTTTCAGAATAGAAATATTTTGAAAAAACTGGGAAAACAAACAAATATCCCAGCCCTGTAAATGTGTCATGCCCATATTAACTTGCTATCTATTGAAATTCTCAGTTAAATAAATGTAGATATCCTCTCTGCTATATCCACATTTTCACTAAAGATAATAGTCTTATTAATAAAGTATTTCAGATGTATGTTTCCTTACATCATTAGGGGTCTTCTCCTGCTTCTCATGCTTTTCCCGGTCATATGCCATCTTTTTGAGAAGTTTCTTCATAGCTTTGTCCTTTTTCTCCTTCTTCTGTCTTTCAGTGTTTTGTTTTCTCACTTGGTTAACAATAAACTTAGGAATCTAGATGAATATAGATAGTAAGTATGAATATCTACACAATTTCCTAAAGTAACTAACTTATCAAAACTTTGTAAATTGACAGGCTGTCAGGTAGAACTTGAAAAAATAGTATTTCCAGTAATAATTAAAGATTCAAACAATATAAAGCTGTGAAACCACTCTGCTCATGATGTTATATTCCATCCAGTAAGCTCTCAGGAGAAGAGAGGTGGAATCACGCAGTGTTTTTACTTTCCTCAGCCAAAAAAAATTCACTTAACACTTAGTCTGTGTGACGGTGATAATAACTTTTCCTTGCATGCAGCAAAGGTCAAAATTGTTTAAAGCTGCTGATGGACAGCAAAGCCTGAACTTTTCCAGTCTAAGTTAGAGCTTTGCTTGAGACCATGACAAAACCTCATGTTTCACCAAAACATGTTTTATATAACATGAAGTTTGGCCCAAAAGGGAAATGAACTACAACACCATGTTTCCTGCTAATATCTCTAAGCAGAAAATAATAAATTCCTCATAACAATGCATACTGATAAGCCAAATACAAAGATCCCCCAAGGACTTATTTTTGAGTTCACATATGGTACATACAATATCAAAACTCTGACCATCAGAGCTTAACTCTACTATAAGATGTAATGATTCTGTTTTGCTCCCATAAGAGTTGCCTATGTGCAAGAACCCACCTGGATGGGGCTGATCTTCCTCTAAATCATGGATATACGTTCATATTACTTCTTTGGTCAGATGCCTTGTCTGTGAAATTTATGATCCTTCCCCCCACCCCCCGCCCCACCCTTAAGAATACACTTACTGTCCAGAGAAGTTTTTGGTACTGAATCATAAAGCGCATGACATTTGCTGTTCCAGCTGCCATAACAAACTCGCTTTGTTCAATAGTCTTTGAGCCAAACCCATGAAATGTGAAAAGGTTTGGGGCCATCACCATCGCAACATTCTTTAATGTCATTTTATTTTTCTCTCGATTATCAATTACCCTTTGGAGGAATTCAAGCAGTACCTGAAAGAACAGCAGAACTTACAGCTCAGCTCTGCACATGAAAAAGTTAAGAGTCAAACATGATGTTACATATTTCGTTAAAAAGCTCTTAATTCCTAATAAAACCATATGAAAAGCAACAACAATAGGATATGTTTATAAAACTGTAATGAAAATTTTGATTCCTTTATTTTTGTGGAGAACATTTCAAGTATCTTTGAAGCCCTGCACAGTAAGATTTTATTCAAAACCCTTGTTATGTAGGTGCATAAATAGCATCCCACAGATGTTTTTGAAAACATTACTGTTGGCTTTTCTTAAATTGAAAGTTAACACAATAGTGCCAGCTGTCATGGTTATGGAAACATGGAGTGGCTAGTTCATAGAATCATAGAATGGCCTGGGT